CCAGTTGCAGATGGAGGGGCTTAGTCCTAGTGTGGATAGTTTGTCCACACTAATTTAGTTTTTTTTTTTATTGAACATCAGATCGCTGTCCTCTAAATCCCTGTTAGTTAACAAACTGATAACTGATCATCATATTGATTTATTTTGTCTGACAGAAACTTGGCTACAACAAGAGAATTTTGTTAGTATAAATGAATCCACTCCTGTTAATTATTTACATTTTCATGTTCCTAGAAAAACTGGCTGAGGTAGAGGAGTACCTTCTATTTTTCAGTCAGGATTATTGATTAATGCCAAACCAGTTATTAGTTATGATTCTTTTGAATCGCTGTATCTCAGTCTTTCTCATCCAAAATGTAAGTCAGAAAAGCCACTTTTACTAATTGTTATATATCGTCCACCAGGCGCTTACTCTTAGTTTTTGTCCGAATTCTCAGAACTATTAACTGACTTATTTTTATTAAATACAGATAAAATCATCATAATGGGTGATTTCAATATTCATGTAGATGTTGAAAGTGATAGCTTAAACATAGCCTTTAATAATTTAATAGACTCATTTGGTTTAAGCCAAAACGTCCGCACATCTACTCATTCTTATCATCACACTCTTGATTTAGTTCTGACCTATGGTATAGAGATTAAGGACTTGGTAATAGTTCCTCAAAATCCTATTCTGTCCAACCATTTTTTAATAACCTTTGAGTTTACATTAAATGACTACATAGTCACTGAGAGTAAATTCCATCTCAGCAGGAGCTTATCAGAAAATGCTGTAACCAAATTTAAACAATCTCTTCCATCAATGTTTTCCTCTGTCTTGCAGAGTAATGCATCAGAGAACAGTGACTTAGATCATCTAGTTGATCATCTTACAACTTCAATGCAAACTTCACTTGATAAAATTGCTCCACTGAAAAAAGAAAGTAATCAATCAGAGGAAATTGGCTCCTTGGTTCAATTCCGAGTTACGTACTTTAAAGCAGGCATCTAGAAACCAGGAGAAAATGGTGCTCTACTAATGTTGAAGAATTTTATTTAACTTGGAGAGATAGTCTGCTAACATATAAAAAAGCTCTCAGTAACGCTAGAACTTTATATTACTCATCTTTAATAGAGGAGAATAAAAATAACCCTAGGTTTCTGTTTAGTACTATTGCTAGACTAATTTAAAGTCCTATTTCTGTTGAACCATGTATCCCTACAACTATAAGTAGTGATGACTTCATGAGATTTTTTATAAATAAAATTATTTCAATTAGAGAGAAATCCAAAAAAGTTCAATCTGGTCCTCTGGACATTCAAAAAAAAAAAACAAAGCAAAAAAATATAGAAACGTTTTGTCTCTCATCCAAGAGACTTCCTCAGTCTGAGGTGCTGTTTTCAGCTCAGTCTCTTAAATAGCACCTTCTCAGGGTGGATCAACCAGTTCGCTGCTGACAACCAAAACGAGCTGCTCACATGGTCAAGAAGGACCATCAGCCTAACAATGGATCATTAGCACACCGATGGCTGTTTA